GCTACAAAATGTTAAACTTAACGAATATGACAATGGTTTGCATCGGGAAATACTAAAGCATACATATTGAAGAAACTTAAATAGTCGCCTACGTATGAAAAACACGGAAGACCGCTGAAATGGCACTGTCGTAGGTCCGTATATATTTGGCGTTTGCCATTTCAGCGGTCTTCCGTGTTTTTCATACAAGCATCCCATGTAGTAGGTTGACATTTAATGCATTTTTATTGGTTGCACTTTACGTGTAAACAAATGAATATAATATTAGAGCTTCTGATTCAGAAGTACCAACATAAAATGAGCTGTCCCACTTATATGAAAAATTGACATCCTTCTTTATTTCTTTTTTCAAACAAATTTTCAGGTATATTCGTAACACAGACCCCAAGGATAAAAACTTGGCAATGTATGTCGAACCGGAAAAAACTTGGCCTAAACATTTATGGACTGCGTGTCCAGTTAAGAAAGGTTCACTTGTGATATTTCATGGTTTAACTATACATCGAAGTGAACCAAATACATCTGATAAATGTCGCTGTGCATATGCTTTCCATCTAATGGATTCAGATGGTGCCGTGTGGTCAAAAGAAAATTGGATTCAACCACCAGAAGGTCAACAGTTTCCAGAACTCTATTGAAGAATATTCGCGCTTCTTTTCTGCAGAATGTCCGATTTTTAAACTAGCTCAACTAAACATCGATTCAAAAATGTACAGATTTTTTCTGATTTTAAGGTGTTGCCTCGCTTATCATAAGCTTAGCTTTCTAAATTCATGATCAAATACTCAATTTTTGTTATGCGTACTAAGCATTTAAAGAAAATCGCATTATTATTTGAATTCCCGAGAATGAATGTTGCACTTGACAAACAAAATTGAAAAAATCATTTTATCGCTTTCAAACTGAGTTCATGTGTGCTGATTTTCATTATTTGGGACCCAATAAACAAAAGCCGATAAGCAAAATTCAGCATTATATTACATAGTTATATTTTCGTTATTCACTCGACAACTGTCAGAAGTAGAAGTGTGCCCATATAGGGGACATGTGGTCCGAAATTGGAACATATACGGACTTGACCGTCAAATGTTTACTGATCTCTCTTCCATAAATGTCGCCCGTTCGCTAACAGTGAGCGAGTTGATTTTCTGTTTTTCTTGAAAATGCAAATTGAATTCAAAGCCAATGCCATCATCAACCAATTTTCTATGGACACAAGACACTTAACGCTGTTGAGTCACTTTGCCATTTCCTAAGCTCTAACACCAATAACAATAAATAATATTTTAGCCTGACGGCTATTGTATTTGTTGCGTTAAAAACTTTGTCATCACACATTTTCGAGTATGAATAAAATTTAGTGGTGAGCCTTAAGTAATCAGATTTCATAATTTTTGAGTTAGTCAATTTACAATCACTCTCCCTCCATCTCTATCTCTCTCTCTGTATGTATCTAAGTTGTTTTTTCTCCATACTATTTACATTAAACGTCGAACGAACAAAATTGTACATAATGAGAATGTATTTTAACTTTATTTTCAGTGTCAATGGATATTAAAATAAACCGAATTCACACGCGACCACCCAGTAAATAAATAAAATGAATTTGATTTTCGACCAACTTTTACATCGTAGCATCATTCGCGCACATGTGAATGTGTATGTGTGTGTGTGCCTTTTTATCGATGCAAAAAGCAACAGCAACATGGTCCATAAACAACACGAGCATCCATAAAACAAAAGCAAAAATAGCATCATCAACAATAACAATTCATTCATTCTTTGCATGTATCCGATTGAGCGTGTGCTATTGGAATAAAGTGTGGAGAAATGAAGGAAAAGATACTGTTGCGTGTTCCGGTATCATGTGAAAATATCGAAACCGAGAAAGTGCATCACTGTTCATAGCATGCGCTTCATTACACATTTGCACATCCATTAATGTTTCTATTTCGACGCGATAGATAACTTTGAGCCTGATATTACTCAAGAATCACGATGGATTTTCGTTTTTAGCAAAATGCTGGAATTTTGTAAATTTACCAATTGGTAAAAAAGTATCAAATCGTGCTTTCCATACAAAATTATGTTCTCGTTGTTTTCGGTGCTGCTGGAATTATCTGCCCCATCCTTGCTTTTCGAACGCTGTTCAAACGAAAAGTCTTCAAACTCATCGTCTTTTTTTCAATGCGAATATTATTCGTGCCTAAGAGTTAGAGTTGTATTCAGCAAATGCACACTTGTATCAAAATCGAAATGTGATGTATTTTCAACGAACAAACGTTAAAATTCGAAAATGAGAAAGAGAGAGAGAGAGAGAGAGAGAGAGAGAGAGAGAGAGAGAGAGTAAGAGGGAAAAAGAGAGAGAAATGATAGCATGTAAACTGAACGCGTTCATCTGCACACTGCGATATAATATGTCAATGATGCATGGATATGGATATACCGGCAGGCGATATAGTGAAAATATAAACGAACGACGACGCACAATAAAAGAAAGTTAGTACAAATATTTGTTTTTCATTGAGCTTGTCGCATATCCCGCTCCACAGTTAACTGGGGAAGTTGTTGTTTTTTGTCTTCATCCTCTAAAATAAACATTTCAATTGGATATGAACAGGCAAAAAAGAAGCTCAGATAAAAAAAAACCTTAAAGAAAACCATTGCTGCTAAACAGACAAACGAAAATCGATATTGATGATAGAGTAAAAGAGATGGAATCCATGTGTTTTTTGTTCTTCTTCTTCATTTTCTTTCATTCATTTTATGAGACGCTTCGTTGTGTGCAATTTCTTATGATCTTGTTATAGTATGCTGTGCTATTTTAAAAATCTGAATCTTTCTTCCCATTTTGAAGATTTGCAAATTGGCATCGTAGTGCCAACATTTCGGAATCGGCTCAAGTACTCATAAAACACATAACAATTCATTGTTTCGATTGTAATTCGATGTGAAATGAGATTCTCTCATTCTCTTTGCACCGATGGAAACGATTTAAATTGGAAATAAAGCGAATTCAGAACAATTGCATACTTATGAGCGGCGATGTAGTAAAATACATAGAAACACGGAGAGAAAAAGCCAAGGTGTTTACATTAGCTTCGTTATATCGCATTGCAAATATATTG